TGTTGGACTACAATGCATCACCGTTGCTTCCTGAGTTCGAGAGATACCGAACGCCAAGCAAGATCATGGAATTGCTTTGCGAGATGCCTCCTGGACCCCACGACACAAGCAAGGAGCAGATCATTCGAGACCTCACGACTGTCCTGGAGTCCCACAGGGAGAACACGGTTCGGCATCACTACATGGACAAAGGAATCAAGTTTGTCATCAAGAATTGGCGACCCGAAGACCTACGCAGAGACGAGGATGGACGGAGAATGAGGGTATGCCCGGCATGCTACAACATCGTTCCAGCATGTTTCTCCCGATGCACGTCTTGCTGGTCACAGTTCGTTTCGAGCGGATATTACCAAGGTTCTCCACAACGGGAGACTCCTACGGAGATCCCCAGTGACTTCATTGCTCAGACAATGGAAGCCGCAGCAGCCGCAGTGCCTGAGGCGCCCGAAGAGGAGCAGGAAGCCATGGAGGTAGAGACCGTTGCGGAACCTGAAGAAATCCCAGAACCATCTGTCATCGCGGAAGACGATCCAGAACAGGAACCTGATGAAGAAATGGACGTCGAGCCTGGAGAGGACTTTGATGACGCAGTTCCAGAAGCAATCGCACAGGAACGTCGTCCCGTCTTCATTACCGGCCAGTCTTTGAACATCGATCCTGAGCTACAACTTGCACGTACCGCCATGCAGCCATCTTACTATTCTGGAAAGCGAAATGCCCATTGCATTGACGCGAACATGACCGCTCTTTCGTACATGGCATACGTGGTATGCAGATCCATCTACAAAGCTTGGTCAGGATTCGCAAAGTGGGCGACTATGCCGTTGTTTCAGATGAGGGAAAGTTTCGCACTTGGCCAACGCTATGATGTGCTTGGAAAGTGGGGATCTTTGGCGGCAGTGGATAGGGAAACGGGTGTGAGCAGGGACGTGACTGATGAGGAGATCATTCGCTTTGCAAAGGAACCTGAGAACCTCAAACAGTATGATCCCAACGGGACTTACACCTTGAAGCGCTTCCGGACGAACCAGATGCTTTCTTTACTTGTACGGGGAGCCAACATGATGGGAATTGGCAGGGACAACTTCAACCCTACTACTTACTTGAAGAGCGACAGGGATGAAGATGTAAAGGCTATGCACTTTTGTTGCCTGAACGTCCTGTGCGAGGTGATTCCAATGGTGACGGGACACCAACAATTCTCAGTGCTACGACCAACGCCAACTGGACCAGTGGACTTCTTGTACATCGACCCCGTCGGTATTCTGCTGACTCATTCTGATCAGTCAGTCCAGACCATCGGCTTGCTGGTGGACCACAGTGTGCAAATGCCTGCGCATTTCATGGACAGATTGAACAGATCCAAGGCTGAGAGACAGCAAAACCCGACGACAAAGCGTACGGAAGCCCTACACCACATTTCGGCCGCTGACTATCTTCCTCCAGGTGGTACATCCATCCTGGACACGCCTGTCACTACGGAGGAACGTGAAAGCGCTTCTTCATCCAAGGGACCTTCAAAAGGGCGTGGAAGAACCGGAGGCGAGCAACATGGTGGCTGGAACACCAATTCCTACCACGACTACATCGCCGCCAAAGGCCGAAACAAAGGCAAGGACAAGGGAAAGCCAAGGAACCAGTATCCAGAGGAGAACCTCCGGCCCTGGGACCGCGATCCTACGTCAACGCGAAGATGGTGGCGAGACAACGCCTGATCTTCCTCGCCTATCAGTTCGTGACCTCTGAGCTTCGCCCGTGGAATGCCATCGCGAATGCTTCTTTCTTCGGTGACGCCTGATTCGTTTGTCATTTCAGGGGATCGTTACTGACGTAGATGAGTGTCACAACGTTTCTAATTGGGATGCAAAGCTCTGATTTTCAAAGTCAACGTTGCGGCGGAAATTTTCTTCTGTCCTATCGTGCCATCTTCCGGGTGAGCAGCGTCGGAGACGCAACTCATGGGGGGTGCGAACGGACTGCGATGCCTTGTCAAGTTCTAAGGTGTCACTATAAGAGCTGTGAGCAAGACCGTGTAAAGTGCAAGAGAAGGGGGCACGCTACGCGTCCCTCGACTCTAGGGGGCATGCTACGCATCCCTCATCTTTACCTTTCTATGTGACCGCCAACGCAACGTTTGGCTCAAGTCAATGCCCATAGCTAAGTGCTATATGTGTCTTCTATCCTGAGCAATCAGAGCTATCCCGTTGCACAGACGAACCGCCGCCGGCAGTGAGTGCAAAAGGAACGGCCGCCGGTTCTGCCTGCATAGGATCGCACGTGTGGAAGTAAGAGGGAGAGACAGGGTCCAGTCTGTGGAGAGTGCTAGCCAGCCACACCTACATTCATTACAGCTCTGGTGGGGAGAGCAGCAACCAAGTCGAGATCAATCCCCCACGCAAAGAGAGTGACATCGTCAGCATTTGCAATGTTGCTTTGGCGGTGGTCGCGGCAGAATACGAACTTGTGTGCTTGAAGGACCCACTCACCGAGACTGTGGAGAGCCGTGCGGGCCTTTCTGTTGCCTTGTCAGCCCGTTCCCATCACCCTGTTCTGAGATTTCTTGAGAATGCATGTCAGCCAATGCCCGTCACCCTGTTTTGGGATTTCTGAATCGGGGTTCACAGGCAGGATTCGGCACAGGTCTGCGGATTCAAAGTCTTTTTTACAGCCGCGAGCCGCCTGAACTTTGCCACTTCACGACCCATTCTTGGAGCCCTCGGCTCCAGAACCTGCCGGTGAACACCCGACCCCAACATGAAGCATCGCAAGCCTGCAGAAATGCTTGGGCCCCCAGGGCGCCTGGTTTGCGACGAGGTCGTCGAGGCAGACTTGGAGGCACGTTCAAAGCTTGTTTGGCTATGCCGGGTGACAGCTGACCATCCTCTTCCTGCTGTTTGCCCTCTTTCTCATCCTGTACATCCAGCAAGAACACTGCGGCAATACATACACCAAATTCAGTCCAGGCAGAAGACGATCCACACTTTACTGAGCTGCGGCATCTGGTGGGAGCCTTGGCTGTGGAGCACTCCGGGCCTCTCGGGTTTCTGCCTTGAAGTCTACGGCGTCTACGGGGCGATTGTGTTTCCGCAAAATCCGGGACGAGCGTTGCTTTGCAAGCATGCCTGGATCATCTTGACACGACTTTCCTTGTGCCTCAGAATGAAGGCCTTGCCAGCAAATTCCAGAACTGCAAGCAGAGTAAGCCTGATGTCGTTGCTCCAAAACCGGATGCCCGAATCCTGACAGTGCACCCACGCTTCAAGCGCATCAGCCGAGGTCAACCGTTGAGGGGGCCAACTATGTGACTTCAGGCATTTTCCGATCCAATGCTTCACCTGACCAGGGCCTCAAGGGTACCCTTCAGGCGAAAAGGGCGGCGTAGCGTGCCTGCAGCGAAACTGGCACACGTGAATGCTGCCGCCCGAAAGCAACTGGCAAGTTTCCATTCGGATATATGCTGGGTATTGCCTTTTTGGGCCTGCTGAATGCAGGATGGGGCAACTTCCGCACCTGATACGGAAGCTTAGGGTGCCAAAAATTTGGCGGCAGCGATGTGTCGACCCATCTGTACAGCAAAGCGATATGTATGGAATATGTACGAGACAAGCAAGAGCTTTCGTGTTGTCAAAGAACTCCTATCTGCTCGAAGATGACGGAACACGTCCCTGCTGCTGCTCTAACCAAGAGGACTCTTTAGCTATCGCCAAATGGCGCCCACCTCAAACCATGCCATGGCTGTGGAGCCTCTAGACAGTAACTTTGATTGACTAAGCTGGAAGCGGCCTTGGCACGGAGGGGTTTGGGTCGCTAAAGAGTCTGCACTTCTGTGTTGGCCAACCCACAAGATGTTGGCCTGGTTTGCAGGTCTCTGCAGTGCGAGTCTTGGGTCTTGATTTGAAACGGTACCGCTTCCACAGCGAGCACGACGTTTTGAATACATTAATGTGCATCGTTATGACTCGAAAGCCAAGGCAAGTCCTCATCACAAGACAAGCCTGACAAGCGTGCACCAACTCCCCTTCTTGTTCACATGGTGTCAGAAGCTCTTTGCGAACACCTTATGCTCTCCCCTTCCTGAACCCCAAATAGAATGTCAGATGATGTTGCATGCTCTATACGGTTTTACGTACGAAGTATTTCATGTGTCGACTTCTCTGCTTTCTGCTTTGGTGGTGTTTGTCTCGGCGTGCATGCTCGCAACTACTGTTCCCATGCTTCCATCCGTCTGTCTGCTATCCCGTCTTCAGACTAGTCAAAGCGTCGCTCGGTTCCATGCTTGCTGCTCTTCTCCCAACTCTGTCTCGCTCTCGCTCTCTCGCTCTCTCGCTCTCGCTCTCTCTCGCTCTCTCGCTCGCTCGCTCGCTCGCTCGCTCTCTCTCTCTCTCTCTGTCTCTCTCTCTCTCTCTCTCTCTCTCTGTCTCTCTCTGTCTATCTCTGGCTCTCTGTCTCTTTCTCCAGTTCAATTGTCCATCCAGTCTATCCACACATCTCCAGTTGCCAGGGTGAGCTTCTTCTACCTTTTCCTGGCAGTGAGGCCGCCACCCTTGTGCCAGCACAGAATGTCCGATGACTTCACGAAGTTTCAATGTTCAGTACCATTGTTCGGTGTACGCTGCAACACGCTGTTGACGCTATGATGGTGACGATGACGATGCTGACATCAAAGATGACGGCACCAACGCTGATGATAATGGTCGTGGTGGTGGTGGTGATGCTGCTGAAGATGATGGTGAGGGTGGTGATGACTATTGCAAAGACGGTGGTGATGCTGAAAGTGCTGACTGTAACGGTGACAATCATGATGATACTGATGATGATGATGATGATGATGCATGAGAAGACGGAAACCGTGGTAGTGGTGCTGCCGAGGCGATGGTGATGTGGTCGCTGGTGACCTATTAGCCCAAGCCCTGATTAAGCGTTTGACAAGAGGTTGTCATATCTTTCAACACGAGGGCCAGGGAGTTCGACCACCCAAAGTTGCCTCCCGCTTGCTGGAGGCCTTCGTGCGGCTTCGGAACTTGGCGGAGCAGGTCCAGCGTGCGGATCTCCGGATCATGATTTCGTAAAAGAATGCGGTGGTAGGCGGCGACAGTGGCAGGTGGCAGGTGGCAGAGGCAGTGGCAGTAGTAGCTGGTTGTTAGTAGTGGTGGTAGTAGCAGTAAGTAGTAGTAGCAGTAGTAGCAGTAGTAGTAGTAGTAGTAGTAGTAGTAGTAGTAGTAGTAGTAGTAGTAGTATCAGTAGCAGCAGTAGCAGCAGTAGCAGAAGTAGCAGAAGTAGTAGTAGTAGTAGTAGTAGTAGTAGTAGTAGTAGTAGTAGTAGTAGTAGTAGTAGTAGTACATGTAGCCATTCAAACCCCAAAGAAGCGCTTGGCGAAGCCTTAGACCCCAAAGTCCTCAAGAAGCCCTAAACTTGAAGCTGTAAACCCCAAGCCCTATAACACACCCTTTAAAAGCATGAAGGCCAAAAAAATACAATCCCTGAGCCTGATTAAGTACACTAGAATTCGTCAGGTAAAGGTGCGTTTAGGGAACGCCTTAGACCCCGAGACCTTCGAAAACACATTAAACTTGAAATGTTAAGCTCCAAACAGTAAGCCTCCAACCCTAGACCCTCAATGCCACAAAAGCACTACGGCACGCACAACGTTTCGTTGCGTTTCGTTTCGGCCGGCGTTGCGGTTCGTGTCGTTTCGGTTCACACTTCAGACGTTGCGGTTCGATTCGGTTCGGTTCAGTATTCATCAGTATTCTTGCGTTTCCTTGCGGTTCGTTCCCTGCGTTTCGATTCCCGGTTCCCGTTTCGATTCGCGGCTTCCCTGTAATGCTACTGCTTTAGCGACTGCCACCAGTAGTGCAACCGATGGTACCCAAGCTACTGGGTCGTCATCGTGATCGTCATAGTCATCATCGCACTCATTACCGTCGTCATCGCGATGGGCTTCCTGAGCAGTTTTGTCATCGTAATCGTATGACAAAAACCAGCTTTTCTCCGGCTTGAAGAGAGCATTGACGGAGTTCGAGGTTCTTGGATCTTTTGATGTCCCTATGCCAGATACCAGAACATGCGGGAAGTGCACTCCGCCGTCGGGGCGTCGCCGTTCTCAGGTGTCTTTCATGTCCACGGGATGTCAGAGCGGCTTGTCGCATGCAGCAATAGATGCTGTGCAGCGGTCGTGTCCTATCCAATTATTGCCAAGTTACATGGAGATTTTCTTTATGCTTCTTCTTCTTCTTCGGATGGTTCGCAGGAGCAGGCAAGCAGCTACTCAACATGCCGTGCTAAGTTTTCAATCTGAATCCCAGAGCCCCGCATGTCAGAGTTCTGCAGGCTTTTCGCTCTCAACTAGCCCTATACGCTGAAGCCATTGCTGATGTAGGCCAGGCCTTTCCACGGACGACGTGGTTGGTCAGGCAAGACACTGATAGAGCTTCGGGATTTGGGTTCCACGGGTTCTGAAACCAAGCTCGGGTTCCCAAGCAACGTGGCAACACACACTCGTCCAGGGCATGACGTTCGACAGTGTGTGTCGATAAAAAACATTCACGTGCTTTCGCAACACTTTGTCGTGAGGGAAAGGGCCCAGGAGTTGCATGCGCGGACCCTTCGATTGGAACAGGATCCTTTCCGTTTTGCTTGCCGGTCAGCTTGTGCGGAAAAATTACTATGCCACTGTGATGTGCTTACGAAAGTTAAAGACGGCAAAGAGATTGATTTGGTTTGTCAGTGCATGTCACGGAGCGAAGCGCGCGTGAGGCGGTTGCGCGGCTTCCGCTGTGTGGTGCATATGTTGAGCTTCGAGTGGTCCACTTGAAGCACTTTTGAGCTTGGGACGCCCCAAAGACTAAAGAGCAACGTGCAGGCTGTTCGAAGGCCCCCAATTTGGTTTTCTTTTGCTTGGCCAGGCCTCTGGTTGCAAGGCAACCTTGGCTTGGACAGTCTGCCATAGCCCAGTCCTTGGCTCGAAATAACCCAAGGCATTCTGCTAGCAGTTCTCTTTCTCCGAGCACAGCGTCGCTCCTGAGAATCCGAGTCGAATGGTTTGACAGGACTTCCTGCGGCGTGAGCTCCAGCGTGAAGACATGACGAGTGTCCGATCCAGCAGGGTTTGTTGTTTCGCACCTGCAGCTCGGCTATGCGAAGTGGCCAGTTCCACGAGTAGTGAGTATATAAGTGGTTTCGCATGGTAGCATCTGTGTAGGTGACGGACTCAATATGATGCATCGAGCGTCTGTCATGAGACAGCTTCTAACCCCTACGCGGCAGGCCATGTCGCGGCTGCTGCGGCCGGACTCGCAGCTCTTCGTTCGGCTCGGGCCTGGTAGTGTGATCTGCTTGATGCCTGACCAATTGTGCAGTCAGATCAGTCGGGCCTTGCAAGGCAACTTCACTGTGAACAGTAGGCTGACTTGTATACTGTACTGCCATCTTGTGGTGAATCGGACGTAGACGATCAGGCCGCCTACTTGCCGAGTAGTCATGTTGCAGGTTAAGTTGTTCGCAAAACGTGGCAACCCATGCTGGTGTGCTTTCTGCAGCTGTCTCCGGCAGGTTTGGTCCGGCGTGGTGTGGCGAATTCCAGATCAGGCAGGCTTCGAGTTGGCAAGCATGTTCTTAGTATGAAGCCCTGTCGTTTACGTTCGGGGCAGAGTAGGCTGAGGGTTTCTGGAATGCTTGAAGTTGGGCGCATCTTGGTGGTCTTTGCTGTAAGCCGACCATGCCACCTGACCCTGAGATAAAGTCTAACTAAGCACAGCTTTGGTTTCGAAAAGTGCGCAGAGTTTGGGGTTTCGGGTGTTTGCTGCATGGGTATCGGGGTTTCGGGTGTTTGCTGCATGGGTTTCGCTGGATGGGTCGAGGCGCAAACCCAAAATCCAGTGTATGAGCAGAACGTGCTGCAGGCTACTCTTCTGATCCCGCCGATTCCTTTCGATCCTTGCTACCCTGATGACTCAGAGTCGTCTCCCTTCTCATGCTCATGATGCCCTCTCCAGCTAAGTTGGTCACAAGCGTGCATTCTGACGTTCATGATGCTCTCTGTTGGTCTTTGGTTTGTCAAAAGCTTCCCCTCGGATGCTGATGCCTGCCCTGCTACCCCGCTGCTGAAAAATCACCTTTCTGATGCTCATGATGCTCTCTAAATCGGTTTGTCTCTGTTGGTCTTGTTTTGGTCCAAAGCCTCCCTTCTGCTGCTGATGATGCCTGCTCCGGCTGACCCGCTGCTCAAGACTTTCACTTCTGATGCTCATGATGCTCTGTACCGGTCTTTTCTTGGACAGAACCCTTCCGGAGTCTCCCCTCTGATGCGCATGATGCTAGCTCCGGCTGCGTCGGAAGATTCTTTGCTGATGCTCGTGCTGCTCACCCCCGCTCTCATTCCCATCCCTTGCCGGGTTGGTCAAGAGTTCCTCTTCCGATTCTCATGATGCTCGCTCTTGCTGCCGCCATGGTCCAGAGTCTCCCGTCTGATGCTCATGATGCGCGCTGAACAGTTTCGTTTCTGATGCTCATGCTGCTCCCTCACGCTGCTGCTTGGGATTTCCCTTCCGATGCTCATGATGCTCGCCCTTGCTGCCTCGTTGGTGAAAATTTTCCTCTGTGATGCTAATGATGCTCGCTCCCGCTGCCGGGTTGGTGAAAAGTTTTTGTTCTGATGCTCAAGATGTGCGCTCCCGCTGGCCCGTTGGTTACAAGTTTCCTGTCTTATGCTCATGACGCTCACTCTCGCCGCCACGTTGGGTCAACAGATTTCCTTACATGCTTATGATGCTGACTCACCTGCCGGGTTGGTTAAAAGTTCTCATGATGCTCGTTCTCTTTGCCGGGTTGGTCAAAAAGTTTCCCATCTGATGCTCATGATGCTCGCTCCCGCTGCCGGGTTGGTCAGCAGTTTCCCAGATGATGCTCATGATGCTCGCTCTCGCTGCCGGGCTGGTCAAAAGTTTCCCAGATGATGCTCATGATGCTCGCTCTCGCTGCCGGGTTGGTCAAAAGTTTACCTGCAGTGCTCATGATGCTCGCTGCGGCTGCCGGGTTGCTCGCGATGGTCGCTGCCGCTGCCGCTTCGGCAAGAGTTTCCCTTCTCTTGCTCGTTCCCACTGCCACTGTTCCTCATGCTCATGATGCTCGCTGCTGGTGCCCCTTTGGTGAGAAGTTGCAGTGCTGATGCAAAAAAGTTTCCCTTCTGATGCTTATGGCGCTCTTGGTGAAAAGTTTCCTTTGTGGATGCGTGCTCCCGCTGCCGGCTTGGTCAAACGTTTCGCTTCTGATGCTCATGATCCTCGCTCCCGCTGCCGGGTTGGTCAAAGAGTTCCTTTCTGATGCCCATGATGCTCGCTCCCACTGCCGGGTTGGTCAAAAAGATTCCCATCTGATGCTCATGATGCTGGCTGCTGCTGCCGGGTTGTTGAAAAGTTCCCCTTCTGATGCTCATGATGCTCGTTCTCTTTGCCGGGTTGGTCAAAAAGTTTCCCACCTGATGCTCATGATGCTCGCTGCTGCTGCCGGGTTGGTCAACAAGTTTCCCTTGTGATGCCCATGATGCTCGCTCCCACTGCCGGGCTTATCAAAGGCTTCATTTCTGATGCTCATGATGCTCGCTGCTGTTGCCGGGTTGATCAGATGCAGATGATGCTCGCTCCCACTGCCGGGTTAGTCAAGGAGTCTCCCTTCTGATGCTCATGATGCGTGCTCCCGCTGCCGGGTTGGTCAAGGGCTTCCCTTCTGATGCTCATGAGGCTTGCTCCCGCTGCCGGGTTGGTCAAAAAGTTTCGCTTCTGATGCCCATGATGCTCGCTCCCACTGCCGGGCTTATCAAAGGCTTCATCTCTGATGCTCATGATGCTCGCTGCTGTTGCCGGGTTGATCAGATGCTGATGATGCTCGCTCCCGCTGCCGGGTTAGTCAAGAAGCTTCCCTTCTCTTCTGATGCTCATGATGCGTGCTCCCGCTGCCGCGTTGGTCAAGAGCTTCCCTTCTGATGCTCATGATGCCCGTTCCCGCTGCCGGGTTGGTCAACAAGTTTCCCTTGTGATGCTGATGATGCTCGCTCCCACTGCCGGGCTTATCAAAGGCTTTATTTCTGATGCTCATGATGCTCGCTGCTGTTGCCGGGTTGATCAGATGCTGGTGATGCTCGCTCCCACTGGCGGGTTAGTCAAGAAGTTTCCCTTCTGATGCTCATGATGCTCGCTCACGCTGCCGCGTTGGTCAAAAAGTTTCCCTTGTGATGCTCATGATGCTCGCTCCCGCTGCCGGGTTGGTCAAAAAGTTTCCCTTGTGATGCCCATGATGCTCGCTCCCACTGCCGGGCTTATCAAAGGCTTCATTTCTGATGCTCATGATGCTCGCTGCTGTTGCCGGGTTGGTCAAAAAGTTTCCCTTCTGATGCCCATGATCCTCGCTCCCACTTCCGGGCTTATCAAAGGCTTCATCTCTGATGCTCATGATGCTCGCTGCTGTTGCCGGATGATGCTCGCTCCTGCTGCCGGGTTAGTCAAGAAGCTTCCCTTCTCTTCTGATGCTCATGATGCGTGCTCCCGCTGCCGCGTTGGTCAAGGGCTTCCCTTCTGATGCTCATGATGCCCGTTCCCGCTGGCGGGTTGGTCAAAAAGTTTCCCTTCTGATGCCCATGATGCTCGCTCCCATTGCCGGGCTTATCAAAGGCTTCATTTCTGATGCTCATGATGCTTGCTCCCGCTGCCAGGTTGGTCAAAAAGTTTCCCTTCTGATGCCCATGATGCTCGCTCCCACTGCCGGGCTTATCAAAGGCTTCATCTCTGATGCTCATGATGCTCGCTGCTGTTGCCGGGTTGATCAGATGCTGATGATGCTCGCTCCCACTGCCGGGTTAGTCAAGGAGTTTCCCTTCTGATGCTCATGATGCGTGCTCCCGCTTCCGCGTTGGTCAAGGGCTTCCCTTCTGATGCTCATGATGCTTGCTCCCGCTGCCGGGTTGGTCAAAAAGTTTCCCTTCTGATGCCCATGATGCTCGCTCCCACTCTGATGCTCATGATGCTCGCTGCTGTTGCTGGGTTGATCAGATGCTGATGATGCTCGCTCCCGCTGCCGGGTTAGTCAAGAAGCTTCGCTTCTCTTCTGATGCTCATGATGCTGGCTGCTGCTGCCGGGTTGTTGAAAAGTTCCCCTTCTGATGCTCATGATGCTCGTTCTCTTTGCCGGGTTGGTCAAAAAGTTTCCCACCTGATGCTCATGATGCTCGCTGCTGCCGCCGGGTTGGTCAACACGTTTCCCTTGTGATGCCCATGATGCTCGCTCCCACTGCCGGGCTTATCAAAGGCTTCATTTCTGATGCTCATGATGCTGGCTGCTGTTGCCGGGTTGATCAGATGCAGATGATGCTCGCTCCCACTGCCGGGTTAGTCAAGGAGTCTCCCTTCTGATGCTCATGATGCGTGCTCCCGCTGCCGGGTTGGTCAAGGGCTTCCCTTCTGATGCTCATGATGCTCGCTCCCGCTGCCGGGTTGGTCAAAAAGTTTCCCTTCTGATGCCCATGATGCTCGCTCCCACTGCCGGGCTTATCAAAGGCTTCATCTCTGATGCTCATGATGCTCGCTGCTGTTGCCGGGTTGATCAGATGCTGATGATGCTCGCTCCCGCTGCCGGGTTAGTCAAGAAGCTTCGCTTCTCTTCCTCATGATGCTCGCTCCCGCTGCCGCGTTGGTCAAGGGCTTCCCATCTGATGCTCATGATGCTCGCTGCTGCTGCCGGGTTGGTCGAAAAGTTTTTCTTCTGATGCCCATGATGCTCGCTCCCACTGCCGGGCTTATCAAAGGCTTCATTTCTGATGCTCATGATGCTCGCTGCTGTTGCCGGGTTAGTCAAAAAGTTTCCCTTCTGATGCCCATGATGCTCGCTCCCACTGCCGGGCTTATCAAAGGCTTCATCTCTAATGCTCATGATGCTCGCTGCTGTTGCCGGGTTGATCAGATGCTGATGATGCTCGCTCCCGCTGCCGGGTTAGTCAAGAAGCTTCCCTTCCCTTCTGATGCTCATGATGCTCGCTCCCGCTGCCGCGTTGGTCAAGGGCTTCCCATCTGATGCTCATGATGCTCGCTGCTGCTGCCGGGTTGGTCAAAAAGTTTCCCTTCTGATGAGGCTTCATTTCTGATGCTCATGGTGCTCGCTGCTGTTGCCGGGTTGATCAGATGCTGATGATGCTCGCTCCCGCTGCCGGGTTAGTCAAGAAGTTTGCCTTCTGATGCTCATGATGCGTGCTCCCGCTTCCGCGTTGGTCAAGGGCTTCTCTTCTGATGCTCATGATGCTCGCTCCCGCTGCCGGGTTGGTCCAAAAGTTTCCCTTGTGATGCCCATGATGCTCGTTTCCGTTGCCGGGTTTACCACGTCGGTTGAAAAGTTTTTTCTTCCATGCTTATGACGCTTGTTCCCGCAGCCGGGTTGGTCAGAAGTTTCGCTTCTGATGCTCATGATGCTCCCTCCCTCTGCCGGGTTGGTAAGAAGTTCCGTTCTGATGATAACTGATGCTCGCTGCCGCTGCCGGGTTGGTCAAAAGTTCTCCTTTTGATGCTCATGATGCTGTCTCCCGTTGCCGCACGTTGGTCATAGAATTCTTGTCTGACGCTCATGATGCTCGCTCCGGCTGCCGGGTTAACAGTTTCCCTCCGTTGGTCAATAGTCCGCTCATGATGCGCGCTGTTGCTACCGTTCGTCAAGAGTCTCCCTCCTGCTCCGTTCTGAAGGGGCCAGTGGTTCGCCCTCATCCCCGAGGCAGGCGCCTCCACGCAAAAGTGGTCAGGCCGGCCATGCTCGTTGCTTAACCGCGGTTCGACGTGGACCATCTGCATGACTTCACGTTGCGAGCGGTTTCTCTGCAAAGGCCTTCTCCTAGAGATCTGCGATGCCCATAAAGCCTCAGAGATCAATCCAAATGTGGTCTTAGGTTCAAGGTTCCGTTCGGCCGAAACAGAAGATGCAGCCTTCTCAGCCCAAATCCCACGCCGCAAGAACCGAAATGCCCTGCGAAGAACGCCATGCGAAGACTGCAGGAGCCCTCGCCGCCTTTTCTGCCTCTGTCGGGGCCACTTAATGCTTTGGGCCCTGGTGAAGCCTGGTAATGTACTAAGGGGTTGATTGCTTTCAGCACCGCTTGTCGCATGACTTCGGGTCAGAGTTTCATGCGCCGTCTTCTTGGATGTTACTGTACCTGCGCCGGCGCCACACTGTCTACCCATTTTTTCCTCCTGACGATGCTTCGCTGGGGGATGAATCGCGGTTCGTGGAAATCGTTCTCATGCGCAGAGGCAGGTAAGCCTCAGGATTTCAGATAAGCGTTTACCAGTGCAGGCAGACCTGTGCTTGCACTCGGAAGGCTTAGGACAACTCTCATGACAGGGCGAGGGCCTGCGCCTAAAGCCGAGAAGCTCCGGAGCAACTTATTCGGCTCCTAGTTTGGGGCCGACCAGTTTTCATCTGCGGCGGCTGTCCCAGGTGCCCTTGGTTTGGCTACAGCCGTTACGATACATACCCTGGCTGGCGCGACTGCTGAAGGCTCTTCGGAAGTGGCTCAGGGTCACACCGTGCTGGCAAGTGATCTGGTCGTCCTGCATCAGTACACTATCATTTCATTACACCTTGGAGTTTGAGATCTTCCCAGTTCAATAATTCAAAACGCAACTTACATATTCAGAAGGCCGTCGAGATACGCCCGGCTATCCTTCAGCACTGCGTTTCCAGAACATAACTCAATTTTGAAGCCTTGCGTGCCATCGCTCTGGCTCGAAGCACGAAGAAGCGTCCTGCGAAGCAACAAATCCATATTATTGTTGCTTCGGTAGTGACTCCGCTGTCGCGAAGGGCAGGGCGGTGGTCCACAAGGACGCCAACGTAATCGCCACCATGACAAGTGGCGGCTTTGGTAAGAAGCCCAGGGAAGAGACAGAGCCATCCAGCGGAAGCCCCCAAATCCTTAGGCTTCGAGTTCCAAGGCCCGGGGGCGAAAGCTTTGAAGCACTCGGCCTCGAGTCTCTCCCTACTTTGGCATTCATGGCCTGACCGGCTGCGATGCCGCTGCCAAGTCCGCTGCCATATCGGACCATCAAAGAGGCCCGGAGTTCGTTCTTGCCCGCTTCCGGGAGGTTTGTTTCTGCTACTCGTAAGAGCATGTAAGAGCCACATTTCGGTATATGACCAGGGTAGGATAGGGTCCATCCAACTAGCGTGGACGTTTTCCATTCTCAAGTGAGACGTCTAGAATTATCGCGGTTCAAGGCTCGAACGTCCGGACATTACTGCCGGCAGACTTTGGCAGACTTTGCTGACAAGTTAACACCATCTTAGATCCTCGGATTATTGGTATCTCCGAGTTTGCCACCTGTCACAACCCTGCAGTCAGTTGCCTACATTCACAGAGTAGAGCGAAGCATCAGTTCGATCCAGAAAAAGGCAGCGCAGCGCCACAGCGGCAGCATCGATGAGATCAACGACGATCGTTCCGGGCAGCCTGCGTCGGGTTTGTTTGCACGAGTCTATCTTTCTGAGTTAGGGTGCAGAGTGTAACGAGCGTTGTAGATGTTGGCCAAATTGAAGCCCACACCGGAGATTTTCGTCAAACCAAGCCAAGAAGTGCCGCGCTTGATGCTCTTGTCAAGGCATGGCTCGGTAGTGCTCAAGTCCTGTAGGCCATTGTAGGCATGCCCACAGCCCACACACAACACAGCACACAGCACAGGCATGCGCCAAACTCCCGGGCACGCACGCACGTACGCACACTGGCACGCCTACCCTCCCTCCCCTCCCTCTCTCCATCACTGACTCACTCATACACTCACGCAATCTCACGCACGACACCCGGACACGCACGCTGGTCACATGCTGTTCAGTTGCTGGTGGAGTCTTTGCGGTATCTGTCCCAGACCCCTAATGGCTCGTTGTAGGTTCTATGATTCCATGAATCCCTTGAGCTTGTCTATGACAGCCATTTGCTGTTTTGTTTTGCCGCAGCCGTGTCTGTGATGTTTTCTCTAGTTGCCAGGTGTGTCACTCTGGAGCAGACGTATCTCGAGCAAGACAAAGCGTTCTTTGGCGCGGCGGACCGCACCCTGATGTTGAATGTGCCGAAGTTTGTTGCCCTCAGTCCCGATAGATCCTAAACCTCTGAACACCTGTATACTGCGGCCGTACTCACTAAACCCTAGCCCTACTCGAGCACCATAAGCGCGCCACCCAAAAATTCACACTGTGGAGGACCTGCAGATTTGCTCTTCGCCTCGCATCGGCACGCGCGTCACCTTCACCTTGATGTTGGATCTGGACGCACTGCTTTGCATTGGGTTTGGGGCTCACTCTTTAGTCTTTTCCCGACCACATGTCCACGCTAAGACGCGAACGAGACTAAGCCAGCCGACTCGGGGTTCTAATGGCACAGGATTGGCGGCTTGACGTTTGTGCGATCTTCACCTTCAAACTTGCAATATGGACATAGACTTGTGCCGTCCTTTCAGTCATCCCAGCTCCACAACAAGTGGGCTAGTTTCGGCACGATAGTTGTGACAATGATGATGGTGATGATGCTGATGATGAGGATGCCGCTGCCGCGGCTGAGAGGGCCCCTCTTGATTGTGATTCGTGTTGATGACGTTGCATTTAACCTTGACTAGCTGACTAGCAGTGCTGTTGCCGGTATCGGTTCTCAACCAAGCGTCATCATCAATCGTTAATAAGCCTTGCTAAGCACAGCCACTCCTTGCTCTGTTCAGGAGGGCGACTGCCTTCGCTGTGGCATGCTCGGTGGGGCAGTGGCGAGGACGCGCAGCAGAAGCCGGAGCCGAGAGGAGCCAGAGAACTGCTTTGCACCCCGACCCAACCCTCGGCAGCAAGATCTTGCCCAATCATACTTTAACCACATTAGCCGCAATCATTAGCCTGTGTCGGTTGCCATGTATCAGCCTTCGAAATGCATCATGTGTCCTGTAGCGACATCAGACAGCGCCCCTGCAACTCTTCCACCTCGCAGATGGTGCTGCAGCTGTTCGCAGTTTAACTTCTGACTCCTGACCGTGACTGGAAACTCGGCCTCAAGCCTCGAAGTTGTTGAGAGCATTTACTTGAGGGCATCACATTCGGGACGGTGGACTTCAGCATCGTGTTGCTGTGCTTCAGTCCTTCCTTGCAATGTGCAGGACGGGCGAGCACCGTTGCGGCGGAAACCGCAAACTGTCCCGCCGCGCATCAACAGAACTGCGAACGGCCACGCCAGGAGCATGGAGGGTCTGGACAGAGTGAGAGAATCTGAGGGAGTGGCCGTAACACTCGCACTCACATTTCAACACGAGCATGAGCAGCATGTGGATCTGGGATACGCAGCCCCCCATCCCCTTTCCAATCAGAACAACACTTTCCAATTGTGCATTGACCTCTGTTCTGCAGGCGGCGTGCAGCTCCCATTTCGTGAGTTTGGAGTGTAGCGGAACTGTGGGTTTGAACTGGAGTGGGCACCATGGTACAGTGCAAGCCCAAGCATTGCTGGTTATGAGAAGTGTTATTTTTCCACTGTTTCGTTAGGTTTCACGGATGAAATTGCAGTCGCCACTCAGCGCCGCTCTGTTTTTCACGCCCCTGAATATTCCCAAGACCACAATACGCCTGCTGTAGTGCAAACAGCTGCCAACACAAAACGAAGCTACTCTTGAGCAGCAGGCGCAGCAGAAGCTAGGAAGCACGAAGCAGGCGATAGCAATTTCAGAAATAGGAGGCAAGAGTTAGTTTCAACCACGAAGCCGGCAGAACAGCATCCCGATCGAAGTTCTAGCGAGAATAAATCGACGGCAATGAGCACTATCACACAGAACGCAAGCGATTGGGAATTGACCGGCATTCCCGATCCAGGACCCCCGCCACGGATCCGCATGAGCTTCCCGAGACTGCGAAGAATCTTGCTCTGAATGTGCATTGGCCGGTTCTAGTGGTTCAGGATCTCGTCTTTCTGTGTTCACTGGCCAGCTTCAGTCAAGAGACATATTACAAGCTTGCAGCCGGCCGCACGGCCTCGCGAAATAATGATCTGTAGCGTCTGCTCCACATACCAATGCCCCTGCTCTGCTCTCGCCCCCGGCTGTATGAATGAAGCGTGGTGAAAGTTTCAAGTTTGGGTGACCTTGCAATTGCCAGGACCATGGTCTGTAGTCCTCCGGTAGGGACCGTGCTGCGGCTGTTTCAACGAAGCTGCTAAGATCTTCCGCAGGGTTCCTTCCCCTACACCCAAATAATTTCGATAATGATCGTACCCGAGATACTCCCGGCTGGTTAGACCTGAATCTTGGAATCGCCTGGAGCCGTGACACGATAGAGAAGACCTTGAAGCTTGGAACTCACCGACGTTAGGCTTCAGGATTTGAGATCTATATACAGGTCTTGGGGTTTATATAGGAGTGGTGGGTTTCGGACAAAAGGTTTAGGAGTTTGGGGGGTCTAATGAGAGTAATGTTGAGGAGGGTTAGGCCTGCACACTCTTTCGAGGATGCTTGCAGCGGAGCTTGCCTGCGCTGCGGATGCGAGGCATCGGCACGTTTCCCCGATCGCCATTTCGGGAGTCAAGGTGTGGGTTTGGGATTGGGTTTTGGAGTGCAGGATTCTGTTGCGAGAGTGCACAGGGTGGCCAAGGAGCAGAGCGTCGGTAGAGTTGATCTTGCTGTATTCCATTTGTTTCAGTTGCTGCTGCTTTTTCTTCATTTTAGTGTCGATCGTGCTTCGTATATGATCAATTGCATGTGTGACCTTCGCTGCAAGGCATTCTTGTCGTTCATATCCATACGGCGAAGTAACCTAGGATACTGGCTGTCCTTCATCCCACAGAGCTTGACATTGCAGGGTATGAGGGGACACTACATGCTCCGGAATCCAAGCTTGAGACAGCCTAGTTTGTGATGCCTCTGGGAGCCTTCCATAGGCAAATGGGCGGCCAGTTGAAGAGGGTTTACTCGCTTGAAATCGGCCACGCCAACAAAGTAACCTATGTAATAAGCAGAACAGGCAACCGAAGCAGAAGGAGCAGACTGCAGCATGTTTAAAATATAGCGTGTTTCGATAAAGCCTGCTTTACAGGCATTGGTCAAGATGGTGTGGGCGCACAATCAAGTCGGTATATGTGCGCGTAGGTTGACACAGAGGCTGCGCTGTCTGTTGACGGGTATGACAGGGTCAGATGTAAACCGCGGCAAGCTGTCGAAGACTTGTGAGATAAGATCGTGCACTAGCGGGGTTGTCACGCAGTACCTGCTGTGAACCTGCGTGTCGATGGCGTTTTAATGCACTGTATGTTACAGATTTCATGGGGGGTCTAGCCTTCTGGGTTTTCCATAGACTATCCGTTTGGGTCCGTTAGAACCGTTAGAAGCCCTAGATCCCAGCCCAGATGCTGAGATGCCGGAGAGAGTCGAACGCCTGTGTCAGGTCTGAAGCATTACCAGCGGAAGACGTCGAGTGCTTGGCACCGCATTAGCCGATGCGATGCATCATCTGTTCGGGGTTTGGTATTATCTCTAGTGGTTTCG